TGGCTTTTGTCTTAGAGCTCCAAAAACTGTCGGGGAGCGGAAAATCAGGGCTAAAGTCATGCAGTTTGAACAGCAGGACATCTATTAGTTCATAGTGTGATCATTGGAATATTTGGACTTTAATGGGGCACTCCATCAATTTTTCCCATGGAGCTGAGTTTACTTGTCACCAAGAGTACTGTACCCAACCAACCCGCTCTCACTCCCAATGCATACAAACACAGGACTTTCACCCCGGAGCCCAGTGTTTGTGTCCTGTGTGAAACAAAAAGTAAATGTGGACATTTTGTCAGTCGTTAGTCACGTTAGTCATGTGACTCATTAGTGTTGTTACTGTTAGTCACATGAGTTGATAGTCAAGTGACACAATTTCACTTCTTAGTCACACGAGTCAAGTTAACGTCAACTAGTTCCCAGACAACCCTCTTAACCCAGTGAGCCACAGTCGCCCCAAAAGACACATTATTTTGAAAAGACTACGTATTTAAAGATCGTATATTGACACGCCGTCCCTGACACATTCACAACTAACTAGAAGGGTGCGTAGAACGTTCTAAATTAGTTGGAAGCCATCAAATAATGCAACCAGTGCTCACTGGTTGCATTATTTGATGCATTGGGGTGAGAATTAGTCAGTGAAAACAGTTGCACAATGTCTTTTGTTTTGACTTGAAACATTTCATTTATACCATAGAGCCTGTGTTACAAAGTGTGGCCAGTGAAATTTGAAAGATGTTATCAAGCAGATGACAAAACGATACAGGGTTTGGGGGGACACGATTCTTTTTAGTGCAATTCAGGATCATTTTCACCATTCTTTTGAAAAGCAGTTTCAACTTTATGGAAGTGGAACACTTACTTGTTGGAGTGTCCTATGGTTGACCAGAACATCTGGGTTACTACATTTTAAGGATGCCAATTGTTGTAAAAGTCCCTCAGAGACAAAAGAAAGAAAAATAAAGACAAATAAAAGGACTTTCAGTTGATAACAAGACTGAAATGTGAGTTTGTCTCGTCCTCGAAGAGAGATGTAAACATCTTTCAGCTGAGGACGGAGTGTCGTAGACAGAGCTGAGCTCCTGTACTTCTGTGTGGATGGACACTGTCTGGATTAGCACCAGTCACATGCTGGAGGATGTTGCAACTGTTTGTGTGACCCGGCCCAATCTGGAATTAAACCAATGTCATTTATAACACCCAATAGTTTGCATTATATAATGAATACACTTTTTGACACACAAACCATTTAATTGAAAGATAACTGTATGATAAAAGATAATCTTATTACAAAAACACAGATAAGAACACACCTTACATTTAAGGGATCAGGATTTTATTGTCAACTTGCCTTAAGTTCGACTATAGCCATGTGCACAGCACATACTGTGGGACATTTATTGAGGCCCTGTATAAAACTACAGGACAACTGATAAAAACAGTTGATACAAAATTGTCAAAAGACCACAGGACTCAGAATTATAGATAGTACAGTATCATATCACCACCTCTCCAAAGAAAGTCCTTTCCCTGAATGCAAATGTCCAGGCAGCAGAGTTAGAAAGAAATATATCAACAGTTTACAGTTTGAGCAATGAAATCCACTCAGTTCTGTAACTACGGGCAAACTTTGTTTTGTCCTGAATGGAGTGTGTTTACAGACACACTCCATGATACACAATTTCACTGCAAAATGGTCAGATCACGTAAATTATATATATATTAAAAAAAACATTTTCTCTCTACAACCAGCCATTCATAGTATTTGTTTCTGTCCAGGTTTGTTTCTCATATTTTTCCCTCCATCTTTTGTTGTGCTTTCATTCACAAAAAACGTCACGGCGACATTTAGGAACAGTGTTCCTGCTACTCTGGATAATCCTCACAACATCCTGTTAGTGTTCATTGGCACTATTTATTCAGTAGAAAGTAGTTCCAGTCAAACCATGTTGTTCTGTGAGTTATCCATAGTGACAGGGACACTGCTTTTAGTGTTTGAAGGAGGAGGTCTCTGATGTATATCTCAAACCCGGGAATACATAAAAACAAAACCGTCTGCACGACTAGATACCAAGAGGGAGGTGAGAAAATGTTTTTTTGTAATTTGGGTGAATTATCCCTTTAACAGCGACTTGGGAGGATATTCGGGAATATTGGGATGATGTTGGGTAGTATGATAAAATCAAGGAGTGTTTCTTGTGATCAGTGTACAGCAGCCTTTCTGTAAGAGTCCACATGGTCAGCCACTCTCAACCTGCATGTGGACGTGAACCATTTGGACCGTCTGAGCAGAAAGCTAGCCACAACAGCCACAGACTGTGGACTTTAAGAACTACATTGGTCTTGCTTGGACTGTAGCTGAATAACCAAATGAGCAGCCGGAGTAGAGGACCGTCCCTGGGTCAGTGACAGAGGGCAGAAAGGTATTCTACTGTAAACACGATGCCCACCATGCAAAGCAGGGATACAGGAGAACACTGAGCACAGCTGTGAGCACCAGACACACCAGTATACTGTACCTGCATGCATCACTGCTGACCAGCTGCAATGTTTGAGAGGAGATTTAAACAGACCCACTGTAACAGGAGACGCTGCAGGACTAGCAGACAGTGACTTGTGCCCTTATTCTGACTATTTGACATGTATCTCACAGTACTGAGCCTGCTTAGCTTGGGTCAGTCTCCACACCCATGCTGGTTTGCAGGAATCACAGCCTAAAGCCACCACAGCGACAGTTTGCATGATATTTGCTTGAGCTATTTGCAACTTAATACCTAGCGTGTGCGCTCAGTGTGGCAGGCCTCTGCTCTAATGCATCATGACTTCCACTGAAGGCACTCTCACTCAACAGAGAAACAAGTACGATTCCAACAGGAGTTGGACTGGTTACAATAGATGCTATCTGTTGTGGAATGTGGAAGCTGAGATTTCAAACCTCTTAGATTAAAGACTGAATAAGAAAACAGAAGCGCATAGTATAGAATAAAAAACAGAAAATAGTTCAAATGTCACCAGTTCATGTTTTGGCATGGGTTGTTGATGATTGGTGGATTTATTCAGTTCCACCAACGCGAGTGTATCAGACGCACCTCGCATCTCCAGACAGCAACTTCCACCCAGCTCTGTTGCTTTAAAACTGTCCTCCTCCCGAAAGGAATACCAGCACCTTTAGTTACTTCGAGGTTATATTTACAAAATATATAAAGAAAAATATAGGGTTACTGGCCCTAGCATATAGTACAGTCCAACAGCTGTCTGTAAATATTTCTCCCATGATTATCCTTTCTAAAAGTAAATTGCAGGATAAAGATAGCTGGAACGTGACAAGGTGCAACTAGGACAACATGGCCACCAGAGCTAGGCTGCAGTCAACTGCAGAGAGTCACAGAGAGACAGATGGAGACCAATACAGAGAGAAGGAGTCTGGGAAATATGTAAACTCCACTGAGCTCGTGCATGGGGCGACCAATGCTGCAGGAACTTAAAGCAAAGCTTGAAAAGGGCTGTTGGTTTAGTAACAGAGGGTAAGCAAGAGGGAATTGGAAACTGGTTGTACCGGAACTGTGCCAAACTTTGTATCCTCAACAAATTGAGCTTTTTTTATCCTGAGTATGTTTTTGTTTATTACTGCACAAGGAAATGACTGGAGGGGAAATGCACTTAGTAAATGACATTGATGTATAGCCTGAGAAATGCCTTTACAAATTGACGGAAGACTGTGTTTCAAGATACTAAGATCATTAAAGAAATAATTCAACAATTTGAGAAATATGTTTATTTGCTTTCTGGCTTTTTTCTTGCTGTTATAAAATGACAGCGACAAAAGTTAAAGAGTTTATTGGACTGAGTTAGGAGTTGTTTTATTGCTAATGAAATGAACTTTTCCTTTGTAAGAGAGACTGATATATCTTCTTTCAAAAAGCTAAAATACATAGTATCTTTTTAAGTGAATGCAAAGATGATGAAGTGAATGACATGATCTAGGGGGGACAAAATTTGGCACACCACCGGCAGTATGGTAAATATCTGTTCAACTGGCACAAAGTTCCCCAGTCCCGAGCGATGCTGCCGTCCCGCTTCATACCAGCAGCAGACTTATTTCTTCCAGTCCAGCAGCTACCTGACAATCAGACACAGCTTGACACAAAGAATAATCCTATTCTACAGTCTAGGCTACAGTTTCTCCATTGCATTTCAGCACTTTGACCTTGCCTTTAAACACCCAGATTCCACACTTATAGAATGTCAAAGAGGATGCCGCTCTCTATCTGCTGTCTTATAGGTCTGACTGAGATTGACAGCAGAAAAGTTCAAAGTTCACCCCACCCCTGGCAGGTCTATAAACAGACCAGTGGAGGTTGTGGGGGTTCTTCGTCTCCCTCCTCCTCCTTCTCCTCTATTCCCCACCTCTCTCTCTTTCCCCCCCGCAGTAAGATGATACTGTTTCAATTAGGCTCCAGTGCCACACAAAGAGCTGGAGCATTTGGCAATCAGTGTCACTTCTGACACATTTTTTAGGCTCATAAAGGTCCTGTTTTGATGAGAATAATATTTTAAATAAAAACATTGTATAGCCATAAACATGCACTGTTGCATATTTTCCAATCAGTGCAAAGTTAAAAACCAACATCCGTAGACAGGAATCCATTCAGTAGCAGCAAAAATCTGATAAATTACAAAATGAAAACATAAATAACGCGTTTAGCCTCTTTGACC